AGCCTCTAATGTGGTAGGGGAAAGGTCATTGTACAAGGAGACCTCTGCCTCTTGATATCGCCATGTGGGTCGGGTCCTGGCCCGCTGCATTATGCGTTCCTTGAGGGGAAATGAGTGTAGGCAGCAGATAATGTCTCGGGGGTCCCCATCCCTGTTCCTGGGTCTCAAGGCCCTATGCGCCCGCTCGAAGCGGATGTCTGGTGGCGCCTGGTTCCCCAGAATCTGGCAGAAAAGTGCGGTCAGTAATTCCACAACATTCTCTGTCTCCTCTCCCTCCGGCATCCCCCTTACCCTGATGTTGGAGCGGCGACTGCGATTGTCTAGGTCCTCGACCTGTCTGCGCAGGGCTAGTAGCATGTTGCCCTGCCTTGTCAGGGCTGTGTCCGCGGCTGAGGCCTGGCGTTGGGCGGCTTGGGCCTGGGTTTCCAGGGCTTGGATGCGGCCATCCTGTGCCTCCATGTCTGTGCGTAGTGCAGTGACAGCGGACGTGAGGGATGCCGTGAGGGTGGTGGTCAGGGACTGTAGGTCTGATTTAGTGACCATGTTGGCTGCCAGCCTCCTGATTTCTGCTCCAATATCAGCCAGTGTAGGCTGTTCCGGCTCCGAACAGGAGGAGGCAGGGGAGACGGGCGCCATCTTGGAGCTGTGCGCCTCGCGGCTCTGTCCCGGCGGGGTTTGTAAAAAGCCGTCCATCGGTCCCGATGGAGTTGCCGGCGGTGCTGCCCTGGGGGTCTGCTGGCTCTCCGGTTTCCTGGTGCGTCCCATTAGGGTGAGTTAGGGGGCTAAAAAACGGCTAATATTAGCTTGGTGGCGAGGAGCTCGGGACTCACACTTCCATACAGGTCGGACTTCAGGCCACGCCCCCCTGGACCTTGATATTACCTTTTTGGGATATTATTGTTAGTATATCAATTTGTACCAGAAGGCTTATCTCTGCTGTAATTTGAAATAGGTCAATATACCTATGTATGTCTATTGGGGATAGGAGTCCTTATTTTTTTGTATGGTTCCTACCCCCCGATGTTGTTCTGTCTGTTAATATTGCTATAAAAATGTAATTAAAATAAAGATTGAGGAAAAAAAAAAAACTCCAAATCTGCAAGCATTAATTGCCTGACTGGACTTAGAGTTCTTGGCTGGCTAATGTTAAATATGTGCATATTGGGAATTTGTTGTCAACAAGCATAGAATGCTGGTGACCAGGGCCAGTGCGTCCATAATGCGGCACACGCGGCCACCTTAGGGTGCAAGATTAGCCTGACCAGCAGGAGATGGGCGCACAGTGCGCCCTTCTGCCAGTCACTTAGTGTAGCGTGGCCGAGCATAGTGAACAACGGTACGGGAACATCTCTTTCCTGTACCCGGCCGGACTAACAGGAAATACTCACTGAGAGTACTTCCTGTCAGTCCGGCCGGGTACAGGAACTGAAGCTCCTGTACTGCGGTCTGCCTGGCTCGACCACACTACAAGAAAGGTAGGAGACACACCGGAGACGGTGGGGGGTGGGGGGCACAGGGGCTCCAAGGACGACGGGAAGGAACACTATGGGGTGGTGGAGAACACTATGGAACAGGGGAGAGGGGGAAAGAACACTATGGGACGGGGGGGAGAACACCATGAGATAGGGGAGGTGGTAAGAAAACTATAAGACAGGAGAGGGGGGAAGAAACACTATGGGACAGGGGAGGGGGGGTAAAGTACACTATGGGACAGGGGAGGAAGAACACTATAGGACAGGGGAGGAAGAACACTATAGGACAGGGGAGGAAGAACACTATAGGACAGGGGAGGGGGGGAAAGAACACTATGGGACAGGGCGGAGAACACTATGAGATGGGGAGGGGTAATAAAAGTATAAGACAGGAGAGGGGGGAAGAAACACTATGGGACAGGGGGAAGAACACTATGGAACAGGGGAGGAAGAACACTATGGGACAGGGGAGGTGGGAGAGAACACTAAGATGGGGTGGGGGGTGGGAGGAACGCATTTCACCATTCTTTACATGGCTTCCTTAGGGGCTCATATACAGTTTAGTGATAAGCCATGATATGAATAAAAAGGTCTTAATAAAACTCCCGTTAGACACCGTCACAAAAGACCATCGGTTCCCTGTAAGATCTGTAAGCTGGGGACTTTAGAACCCGAAGAACTTGATGTGGACATAGATTCTGCCTGTTATTTTTATCTCATAGGGGGGATGGTTCAGACTTTCAAGAAAGATTTTTATTTACATTACTGCTTATCGCCTATATGAGAGCACCTGAAAAAGTTGTATCGAGTTAGACAAAAACACGTTAAGGCTGGCGGAAAAAGGCACCTATGTTTCATTGACACACTTTGTTGGTGATATTAGGGTATACCTATTTGTTTTAAAAGTTGAGTCCAATACATTTTCAATTGTTTGGTGTTCTGCAGTATTGTATCTGTTCGGAGGTTTATTGCAAAGCTCATCCTGGAGAGGGCTGATCTGCTGACACAAGGAGAGACAATTGGTAGATTGTATCCAGATACAACTACACATCTTTCCTATGGATTTTATTTAAGGCTCTTTACTACTGATCGCCCTGGTATGCAAAATATAACTCTGCTATAACCGATCTTTTATGGTGGTGTACTATGTTTTTTCCCCTCGGTTTTCTTAGGATTGGCTGTACCTTGCTTGTTTTGTTATTTCTACTGGATATATGAAACATTGGTCAAGGTCTTAGGAGCAGCCATCCTATTTATTTTGAGTATTGTTTATATTTCACTTTGGTGAGGAACTGGTTATACCATTACAGTCCAAATATTTATCCGAACCTGCAAAGTTTTGGGAACAGCATCCATGCACAAAAACAACATAGAGGGGGGCGGGGCCGGGCCGCCGAGCCGAGCGGCTGCAACCCACGCCGGCTCCGGCAGAGAAAAGCATAAAACAGCCTGAAACACTCAGAAAACCCACGGGGCCTGCCGAAAACCGAAACCGGGGAGGTGATCGGGCGGAGAGGAACCGGGGAGTGCAAAGCTAAAGCACACATTGAACACCCGGCTCGCGAAACGATGCCTGAGGCCTCAACCACGCTACATGAGACGGACCCACGGCGCGCAAGTAAGGCGCGGGGGGCCCGGCCCCGCTCCCCCCCCACCTGGCCGGGGGGGTGATCCCGGCCCAAAGTCTGAACTTCGGAGGCTGGAGGAGGAGGCACGCCAGGAGCATGACGCTCCGGTATACGGAGCTACAATGGCCGACGGATACACCGTGCTAACGCTCCGGGACGGCGGACCCACGACTGGACCCCCATGGGCGGCAGACGTGCCGATGGAGAACCAGCCCTGAACCCCGGATTGGGTGGTGGTCCGGGGGAAAACAGCCCCCAACACTGTGAGCCCGATGGAGCTGTGAAGCGCGGGCCTACCGGCGGACCGGTGGCCGGGGGGCACGCGCCGGCAACATGTAAGTGGCCGGAGGAGGATGTGGCAAGTCAGGGCAGGGGCCCTGGGGAGGCACCGCCGAAGCTGGGGAGGTGCAGGGGGCAGGAGCCCAGTGGACTCTAAGGTGGGGAGGCCACCGGACAGCTCCGGTTTCCGAGTGCCCACAGCGGGGGTGGTGCCCCCTAAAGACATGGAAGCATACCCTGGGGAGGAAAAGGGATGGGACTGTCACACCCGGGGGATCTGGAGAGACTCAGGGGGGTACAACTGACCCAACAGGTGCAGTACCATTTGGAGGTAACCATGGGGAGGTCCTACCAGAGAGAACAAAAGCCACGAAGAAGGCTTTCAATTTCGCTTCAGAATGCTTCATCGTGCCAGGCGCCACTACGCCCCTCCAGCGAAGTGACTCATATGCTAAAAGCGTACATTCGTATTGTTAGGGCTAACCACGCCAATGTCTTCCTGTGCATAAGCAGCGGTACATAGAATACACACCAGGCAACAATTACCTAAGATTGTGAATGCATTATGTACTGAATACCTACGGGGCTAAACTCAGGCACCACAGATGCAGATCAGTATATAACATGTTGCTGAAATAATAATCATTTCTACTATCAATACACTTGATTTATAGCAGGCCTATTTCGCAATTAACTAGACGCTGCTATAATGTTAAAGATATGATGTATCTTTGCCTCACGGTGCCTGACTAATATGCTATTTCTGCCATATATGGTTACCGTACCATGCGTATAGGCGGTTATTTGAGCCTAACGAAGCCCTTCATACTGACCACGCACAGAGCTTAGTATTAACATCTGTTTGCTCCTATATTCTTTCACCAGTAGACTCTAAACAATGTTTTTTGCATATATCCATTTTTAATTCTGTTTAAAACTGAATGTAAGGTTAATGTCACAGTGCCTCAAAGGGCTAAAATACATTGTCGTAGATCGTTGCCTACTCAATAGATACAGACAGGATCCATACCACGTAAAACCCTTTGGTTTTTTACATAGGTACCCGACCGCATGGACGTAGTGCCTAAGACAGCTGATCCGAGGACCCTTAATTACGCCCAGATCACTTTTCTCGATAATATGGGAACCCATGTACACGTAATATAATTTGTTTGTTTATGCATCCCTCTACCAGTATCGCATCAATAGCTAAGGCATACATCAGCACTTGTATTATAGGATGGTCATTTCTTTTAACACTGCATTAGTTTGCCTATATACTTCATTACATGTATTGCATGATCAGCTAAAGTTTACTTCAGATGGACGCATTATAGGATGTTGTTACCTTTTATGCTGTAATGCTTAGAAATGTATTCCAGCAAAGTTCAAGTACGCCTATATGTTCTGATCATTACGCCTCTGCGCAGGCGATAATCTGCATTTATTCTTATGTGCTAACATTTAAGCCTCTATGTAGGTGACCGTTCATCATAATGAATGCTATAACTTACTGCTTAAGCCCCTGCGTGGGCAACCTCTGGCTTTATTACGAACCAGTTCGCAATATGCACTTATATTGTGAAAACAATAAAAAATATTCAAAACAAAAACAACATAGCTGTAGATATAGTAGTGGTGGTACTTAGTGTTTCCCTTTAATTACTCATAATGTTTTGTCCATCAATATGAATAATTTATAGAATCCTGGAAAACAGATCTGGAGATCCTCTCAATTCTCAGCAATCCACACTTTACCCTTATACAGTCCCTGTCCATCCAGCACACAGATACACTGGGCACAGTGGGTCAGTACATGCTTTATTCGGGGAATGTGCTCCATGAGTGATTTAGCCATTGTAGCCCGTGGCAGTGATAGAGACAGACCGGGTTACACTGAGAATAGGACCATAACTGTGTAATACTGCCAGCTGTGTATTGTGCTGGTCACCAGTCAGATAAAGCAGGCGTTTCAGATGGAAAAGTGAACAAGCAGCGAGATATGAAATCCCACAGCTTGGTATTTTTCCATAACAAACGCAGATGTGACGGTTAAGGACAAGAACACACACACACAATAAACACACTGCGACATTGGGAAGGACGGACTACGAATCCCGGCATGCTCCTCGGTTTCCGCAGGACACCAGGGGCGTCAACGTCTGAAGTGATCTCACGGAAAACGTCACCAGGGGTTGCCATGGCAACCGAATGACGTAGAAGCCTGTGACAGTGGTGATCCGAACCGGCATCCTCTCCGAGGTCAGACCTGAGGAGTCCGGCCTGAGCAACGGGCTCCTCCTCCCAACCAGCGGGACCGCACCACGTCCACACCGGCCTCATACTCCTTCCTTCCTTCGGCGGTCAGACCCAACCCTGCTCCTCTATGGCGGCGACCTGCGCGAGCCGCCTCACTGGTTTTGGCGCGCGCTCCCTCAGCGACTTCGTCGGGCTCGCGACATTCCAGGGTCTCCGGGGCTGCCGGTCGCGAGCGCACCGCCACCCAATCAGGTGAGAGGAATCCCAAGGTGGAGCGCGGCGGCAGGGGCGTGGCTTCACCAGGGTCATGTGTTAGTTGTATTTCTAATTTTCTGTATTTATCACCCAGCACCTTATATAATCCATATGGGTGTGGGTTTGTAATGTAATGCAGGTCTCTCAGTAGTAAAGACATTTTATTTTCTTAAAATCAACAGATAACTGCCTGACTCTTACTTCCTATGTTTTGTAATTAAACACTGCCTCAAGGCTTTGGCTTTACTGGATATAGAGTGCAAGAAGCAGGAGTGCCCAGGGTTAGCCACTGCTCCCCTAGGACAGTAAGACATATATGTAAAATGATAGGACAGGTACAGGAGCTGCATGTATAGAGGTGTATTTTTAACACTGTATGTGTTTTGGATTTAGTTTTTTAGTTTTTATTGGGTTGCCAGGCCTCCTTGTTCTGTCCATAGAATGAGTCTCTAAAAAGCATTATCACAGCTTTATAAGGTCAAAGTGGAATGTTGGTGACAAAATGTAATCATTGCTGCTTATCATAAACATTGGTGATTTGCATTGTCCAAGTAAATGGGCAGCAGCAATGCACCAAAACCACTACTTTAAGCCATAGCATTTTGGTGTTTAGAGAGTTCCTTTAAGCCAAATAACTAGGGTGGAAAATATTTGGTTTTTTTTATTTTTTATTATAAACTTTAAAGTCTTCATTCCTCTTGTCATTCTCAACAATCTCTGGTTTAGTGAATAACCCAAACGCATGTGATAGATTAATCTAGCTATCAGTCCACTGTATGAATGGTAGTGCTTGCTCTCTCTCCTCCGTGCTGGGGGTTGTATTGTTTCCCTGTTTAATGGAGAACTCTAGTGGGTTTTCTATTGTTAATTTTATTTCTATTACCTGCGTGTTCTGAAAGTGATATTCTAGAATTATATATTGTACAATTAAGCATATCATCTGCTGGAGATTATGCTGTAAGTAACTATTTTTAATTGAAACCTGAGTATGCAATATTTAGGCCTACATATATGATTTGGAAATGTTGCTGTGGTTCACAGATTTATACAATTCCACTAATGTTGCAAATTCAGTTTTTAAAGGGACACTATAGTCACCAGAACAACTACAGCTATTTGCATTTGTTCTGGTGAGTAGCATCATCCCCTTAAGGCTTTTTGCTGTAAACACTGTCTTTTCAGAGAAAATGCAGTGTTTACATTACAGCCTAATGATAACTTCACGGGCCACAGATGGCTGCTAGAGCTGCTTCCTTAAGCTGTCTTGCCTAATGTGCATCACAACATATCAATGTCACCACCCTCTGCATGCAGACACCGAACTTTCCTCATAGAGATTCATTCAATTCATCTCTATGAGGAGATGCTGATTGGCCAGGGCTGTGTTTGACTTGTGCTGGCTCTGTCTCCTCCATGGCAATCAAAGGGTTAAAAACCAGTTTAAATACTTACCGGATTCTGGAGTGGAGGTCCCTCAGCACAGGCTTCATCTCCACCACCTCTGATGCCAGAGCGAAGGGGAGCCTAATATGCCTGTTCGGCTAGTGCATTTGGCCTTCCCTTAGGAAACCATTGAATCAATACTTCCCTAAGCATGAGGAAGTCTTAAAGGATCACTAAATTGTCAGGAAAACAAACTCGTATATAACCCTTAGGTCCCCCTCCCGGTGGGCTGAAGTGGTTTTAAAACCCCTTCAGCCACTTACATTTATCCAGCGCTGGGCTCCCTCCGCGCTGGTGACCTCTCCTACCCCGCCGACGTCAGCTCCCAAGTGGAGCATAATGCTCATGCACGGCAAGAGCCACACACGCATTCAAACAGTCCTTAGGAAAGCATTTCACAATGTTTTCCTATGCACGTTCTGCACGCTGAATGCGATTTTCGCATTCCAGCGTCGCAGAAGCGCCTCTAGCGGCCGTCAGGAAGACAGCCACTAGAGGTTGGATTAACCCTGCATTCTCTGAAACTATGTTTACATCTGAAGGGTTAAAACCTGGGGGATCTGGCACCCAGACCACTTCATTGAGCGGAAGTGATCTGGGTGACTTTAGTGTCTCTTTAACCCTGAAATGTAAATATTGCAGTTTCTATAAATCTGTAATGTTTTACATTGTAGGTTTAAGGGAACAGGAACACTGCACCCTGACCACTTTAGTTGCAGACTCCAAAACTGCAGTGGTAAAAAGGTATATATTTACATAATAAATAAATAAACCCTCCAGTGTATTTAATAAATACTTTTTATTTAACCTTTGCCAAACTCGTGTATAAATATATCTATTTATATATTTCTTTTGTTTTACAGTTTTTTTTTTTTTCTTTTTCATGGGGATTTCACAAACTGTGTGTGTCCCACTACCGTAAAGCCCCCTAGTTTGTATTCTGCTATTGCACCTGAATATAGCAGTAGCCCACAAGTCACCTTTACCGGATTGTGCCCATGTCACTATTGGGACAAAATAGAATCCAGCTGGAGTTTTTCCACATTATGACATACCATTTGTGGGGAAAAATTTTTAATAAATGTGGAGGAGGGGGGCACCATAGTGTTACATTTGTATTCCTAACTCTATAGAATCTATTTAATTCCCCAGACAGGGCCGGGGGGGGGACCAACTGCACTGTACGTTCTATTATATGAAAGACCCCCTGCAGGCAGGTCAACATTGTTGTGTATAAATAGCTATGTGCTGTACAATAAAGATCATCCTACCCGCTACATTCAGACTTGTCTACTGTGTGGGGAATAGGCTATAATCACTGTAGCCTGGTCCCTTGGAAGAGGTTCTCAGAGACCCCAGTCATGCTTCGACGACTGGTTCTGAAGTGTTCCAGAATCCCTGGTAGCAGCTAGGAAGCTGACCTGGCAGAGGTACTCGGAGTACAAGAGCTCTGTCACACTACCTTTTAGTATATGATGTGATCTTCTATTCATATACATGCACAATAAAGTATATAGAAAAGTTGAATATCTGTGAGAAAACAACTATGCTTTAACACTCCAAGAACAATACTGTAAATAAAGTAACAATTACGGGAATTAAAGTGACTGTCACTGTCTGGGGTCTTTCAACATTTTACACAAAACCCCCATTGTGATTGCTCCAATTGGTGTCCAGAGGCTTCAGGGTGCAGGGCAAGGTGAGTTTTACTAAGCTGAGCCAGTCCCTGACAGCCATCACCATCTTCATCCATCTTCAGATTCATCATCCATCTTTAGCTCCTGGCGTTTTATCTGTCAGGAGCCCATGGCAGTGTGGTATTCTCGCACATGCTCGAAAGTGTAACATTGAGGTCTATGTAGGATCCAATGAGATCCTGAATAGACAATGCCTCTTTCCCTACAGCTGTCAAAAGTGATGGCTGGGGGAAATGTCAGAAATTGACGTCTATAGCTCCACCTTTTGTCAAGTTTTGTTAAGGGCAGGGAATATGCCAAGATAAAGTAGCCCCTTCTCAGAATATCTTTTGACTGTATTGGAATTTCACTGAAACACAGTCAATGTAGATCTATACACTTAGGGAAGAGATCTCTCATCTTTCTTCTTCCTCTTACAATACATCCCCTAACATCACTCCCTCTGCTGTTCTATTTTCATTTGAAACCGCTACAGCGGAAGAGGTTTCTGCTCTGCTCCAGTTCTCCCGCCCCACCACCTGCTCCCTAGATCCAATTCCCTTGCATCTCATCCGTACTGTCTTCTTCTCGTTCTCTACCTCTCACTAAAATTCTCAATCTCTCTCTCCTCTGGCATATTTCCTTCGCCCTTCAAACATACAACTGTAACCCCAATTCTAAAGAAGCCCAACCTTGACACTAACTCGCCGTCCAACTACCGTCCTATCTCGCTACTGACTTTTGCATCCGAGATCCTTGAAAGAGTTGTGTATGCAAGATTGACAGACTTCCTTGAGTCCAATTCTCTGCTAGATCTGCTTCAGTCTGGTTTCCGCGCTAAGCACTCTGTAGAAACGGCAATGACCAGTATCCAATGATCTACTCGCTGCAAAATCTTGTTGTCACTACTCTATCCTAATTCTTTTCGACCTTTCTGCAGCTTTTGACACTGTTGATAATCAACAGCTTCTTCTCATCCTCCGCAATATCGGTCTACATATCTGGTGCTCCTCCTACCTCTCCCAGCGCTCTTTCAGTGTTTCTCTTTCTCTGGCTCTACTTCTTTTCCCCAACTCTTCTCTGTTGATGTCCCCCAAGGTTCAGTCCTTTGTCCCCTACTGTTCTCCATCTGTACTGCCTCCCTTGGTAAACTCATCAGCTCCTTTGGCTTCCAATATCATTTCTTTGCGGATGGCACGCTACCTCTGTGTGTCCTGTCTTGATCTCTCCCCGTCCCTCTTGATTAGTGTCTCTGTCTGCCTTTCTGCTATTTCTAACTGGATGGCTGCTTACTTCCTTAAACTTAACTTGACCTTCCTCAAGTGTTGTTACTCCTGTGTCTGTCTCCCTCCAAGTCAACGGTGCTACCATCCGCTCCACCACGCAAGTTCGCTGCCTAGGTGTTCTCTTTGACTCCAACCTCTCCTTCACGCCTCATGTTCAGTCTATCGCCAAATCCTGCCGCTTCCATCTCAAAAACATTGGGCATATCTGACCCTACTTAAAGCCAGATGCGACTAAGCTGCTGGTCCATTCCACTGTCCTTTCTCGCCTTGACTGCTGTAATCCGCTTCTCAGTGGTCTTACGTGCTCCCAACTTGCACCGTTACAGTCCATAATTAATGCGGCGACGAGGCTCATCTTGTCCGCCCGCACCGCCCACGCCTCACCCTTCTCTCATTGGCTTCCTGTAAGATATAGGGCTCAATTTAAAATTCGGGTTTCTTGCTTTCAAATCTCTACATAATGCTGCTCCCACCTATCTATCCCTCCCTAATACACAAGTATGTCCTGTCTAGGCCCTTACGCTCTACTGAAGACCGTACTCCCACCTCTGATGCTCGCCTTTACGACTTCTCGAGGGCTGCACTGTTCCTGTGGAACTCACTTCAGTCTTCCATTAGATGCTCACCCAGTCTCCACGCCTTTAAAAAAAAAATCATTAAACCCCACTTCTTTATAAAAGCGTATCAATTAAACTGTTAAAGGACCACTATAGTGCCAGAAAAACATACTCGTTTTCCTGGCACTATAGTGCCCTGAGGGTGCCCCCACCCTCAGGGACCCCCTCCCGCCCGGCTCTGGAAGGGGAAAAGGGGTAAAAACTTACCTTTTTCCAGCGCTGGGCGGAGAGCTCTCCTCCTCCTCTCCGCCTCCGTTACGCCCCGCCGGCTGAATGCGCACGCGCTGCAAGAGCTGCGCGCGCATTCAGCCGGTCTCATAGGAAAGCATTTACAATGCTTTCCTATGGACGCTGGCGTGCTCTCACTGTGATTTTCACAGTGAGAAGCACGCAAGCGCCTCTAGTGGCTGTCAATGAGACAGCCACTAGAGGGAATAGGGGGAAGGCTTAACCCATTAATAAACATAGCAGTTTCTCTGAAACTGCTATGTTTATGAAAAAATGGGTTAACCCTAGCTGGACCAGGCATCCAGACCATTTCATTAAGCTGAAGTGGTCTGGGTACCTAGAGTGGTCCTTTAATATCTCCCAACTAATTCCTCTCTTGCGACTGTAATTAGTTTAATAATATCCTTACCTTTTATGTCACTTTACCCCACTCCCTCTAGCATGTAAGCTCATTGAGCAGGGCCCTCAACCCCGCTGTTCCTGTGTGTCCAGCATGTCTGGTTACAACTACATGTTTGTTCGTCCACCCAGTGTAAAGCGCTGCGGAATTTGTTGGCGCTATATAAATAATAACATAAAATGTGAGTATTTCATAAAGATGATATATTTATGAAATACTCATTTGGTAGAAGGGAGGTGACAGAGCCACTTTAAATTTAAAAAAATTGCTTCAAAAAAGAATGTGTCAGATGACATGATGCACTTGACGAAAGCTAAAAATTGCAATGCCCTTCAAGGCTAGCTGAGGCTGGATATAGTAATTTGTCACAGTTAATTCTCACTGTAGCTCTATATCTTTCCCAATCTTATTCCAATGCCAAAAAGTTTTACTTTACAGTATGCAATTTTGTTTTTAAAAATGTATTTACTTTTTTAAAAATTTTTTTTGTCAATTTAAAAAAAAAAAGTTTACATTTTTATTGAGCGGGGATAGCACAGCACAAGTAAAAACATAGTACATTATGTATATAGTAAGAATAAAAACTCAAATCGAAAAAGCTATTTGTATGTATATAGCAACCACTCCTTTTTTTGTTTTTGCTATATTATGGCATGTACAACTATATGCATGTCATTACATGTATAACAAAAGGAGTTATACTGGTATTTATGAACCACAGGATAGTTGACTAATTTATGTCAGACACATGTATGAAAATAAAATGTGTGACATGAAACAAAATATATAACTGATGTGAAATCCACATGGAGCCCATTCAACAGATCAAAACAGCACTGTAGAGACACAAATCATAAAAATATAAAATTGAAAAAAACAAGTAAGAAATAAGGCTGGACTGCAAGCCATATATATAACTTACCCAGATGGGCAAGGCATAGAAAATCTTGCTAGCAACCCTGGTTGGCTTCCAGCAACCATGGCAGAGGTGAGACCAGAACTTCTAACACAATTGGTCGGATCTTGTCATAATCTCCTCCTAGATGTATGCCTGTTTATTGTACTACAAGGTCGCATTGTCATCTTGTTACCTATATACATCATCAGTCCTCTTTCAAACATTCGACAGTCTCCAATGTTGGGAGCAGGATAACACCATCGGATCTGCAGGCAGAGGGGCAGGAGACTCAATGGCTTTCGAGCATAAACTATTTCTACTGCATAGGCAGCAGTTATCACCACAAGCTCCCATCTTGAGTAAAACTCAGTCAACAAACTTCCACTTGGTAGCAGGTGACTACAGTCATTGTGCTTGTATGTGGTTACCCTAACTGGTTGATTATACAGCAGTTATTTAACGATTATTATGATTTCTCTCTGAAGAATTCGCTTGAGAACCTGCTAGCCAGCATGGCGGTCAGGCCCACCCACCCATACAATATTTTTGTATGAAGTTTGTTGTTTGTGCATGTCCATAATTATATTATGGTTGGTCAAACTAGTAAATGATCAAGTAGCAAATTGCCGTGCTGCACCAATCATTACGAGGATTCTGAACGTTGGTCTTGTGAGCTTCGCAGGACTGAACCCAGGAAGCCCCTCCAGTGGTTGTCCGAGGTGGATTAAGCAGCAGTGAAAATACTACTTTTCTCAAAAAAGCCAGCATTTACACTGCTTAGGATATATGTCCCTCAACCACTAGATTAAGCTGTAGTGGTTCAATGGCTATAGTGTCCCCTTAATAGAATATACAAATAAATGCAAAGTGAAGCTACAGCTGGCGTTTAATAATTTAAAAAAAATTTTTTTTTTTTTTTTTATTATTATTTTTTATTTTTGTCGTGCGCGTAGGTACGTTGCAAGGTCAGACGCCACAACAGCGTACACATTGTATACAGGTTAAACATTGGCATGAGTATGTGCACATTTTTTGTTTTTGTGATACTTGAACAGGTTTAGTGTAGCTTATGAGTTTTCATAATAAGGTGTAGTACACATGTAACGTTAAGAGTGAAATACACAAACGTTATGCAAGTTAAGTCCAGCTGGACATAAAGTAATAGTGAGTAGCATATCCAGGTGATACTCGAAAAATTTGAATATCGCGCAAAAGTTCATTTATTTCAGTAATGCAATATAAAAGGGTAAACTAATATAGATGCATTACATGCAAAGCAAGATAGTTCAAGCCGTGATTTGTCATAAGTGCAATGATTATGGCTTACAGTTATTGAAAACCCCAAATCCACGATCTCAGTAAGTTAGAATATTGTGAAAAGGTGCAATATTCTAGGCTCACAGTGTCCCACTCGAATCAGCTAAGTAAGCTATAAGCACCTGCAAAAGGTTTCTGAGCCTTTAAATGGTCTCTGTCTGGTTCAGTAGGAATCACAATCATGGGGAAGACTGCTGACCTGACAGTTGTGCAGAAAACCATCATTGACACCCTCCTTAAGGAAGGAAAGCCTCAAAAGGTAATTGTGAAGGAAGTTGAATGTTCCCAAAGGGCTGTATCAAAGCACATTAATAGAAAGTTGTGTGGAAGAAACAGGTGCACAAGCAGCAGGGATGACCGCAGCCTGGAGAGGATTGTCAGGAAAAGGCCATTCAAAAGTGTTGGGGACTTTCACAAGGAGTGGATTAAGGCTGGAGTCAGTGCATCAAGAGTCACCACACACAGACGGATCCTGGACATGGGCTTCAGATGTCGTATTCCTCTTGTCAAGCCGCTCCTGAACAACAAACTACGTCAAAAGCGTCTTACCTGGGCTAAAGAAAAACAGACTTGGTCTGTTGCTCAGTAGTCCAAAGTCCTCTTTTCTGATGAGAGCAACTTTTGCATCTCATTTGGAAACCAAGGACCCAGAGTCTGGAGGAAGAATGGAGAGGCACACACTGCAAGATGCTTGAAGTCCAGTGTGAAGATTCCACAGTCTGTGTTGATTTGGGGAACCATGTCATCTGCTGGTGTTGGTCCACTGTGCTTCATTAAGTCCAGGGTCAACGCAGCCGTCTACCAGGAGATTTTGGGGCACTTCATGCTTCCTTCTGCAGACGAGCTTTATGGGGATGCTGACTTCATTTTCCAGCAGGACTTGGCACCTGCCCACACTGCCAAAAGCAGCAAAGCCTGGTTCAATGACCGTGGGATTATTGTGCTTGATTGGCCAACAAACTCACCTAACCTAAACCCTATAGAGAATCAATAGGGCATTGCCAAGAGAAAGATGCGAGACATGAGACCGAACAATGCAGAAGAGCTGAAGGCCGCTATTGAAGCATCCTGGTCTTCCATAACACCTCAACAGTGCCACAGCCTGATAGCTTCCATGCCACACCGCATTGAGGCAGTAATTGCTGCAAAAGCGGCCCAAACCAAGTAGTGAGTCCATATGCATGCTTATACTTTTTATAGGTCTGATATTGTTCTATGTACACTCCTTGTTTTATCGATTGCATGTAATATTCTAATTTACGGAGATTATAGATTTGGGGTTTTCATGAGCTGTAAGCCATAATCAACGCACTTATGACAAATCACGGCTTGAACTATCTTGCTTTGCATGTAATGCGTCTATCTCCTATATTAGTTTCCCTTTTTACATTGCATTACTGAAATAAATGAACTTTTGTGCGATATTCTAATTTTTTTTAGTATCACCTGTAAGGTTAACTTTGAGCTCAGGCAATAATAGAACATCCTGTATGCTTTGCGTGTGATAGTTTAAACTTGATGTATGGCCCTAAGACTAAAACTATATTTGAAGGAAATTAAGAAATAAAAATCTAACTTGCGTGAATGTGAGCTATGCTATGCATATGTATACTCCATAATTGGTCGATTGACTTCGAGTGATACCGCTCCCCATGGTCCCCTGTATGATCAAGGAAATATAATAAGTGCAATCAAACGTGTGTGAGTGTTCAACTAGGGCATTGAACGTTAAGAGACGGAGGGCACTTTGCCTGGCATTAAGTCCCAGTCTTGTTTGGATCAGCCGATGCCTTGCTTGAGCTGGATGCATTCTGTCTGCGCTGTTTGTTGCGGCAGCGGTGTGCTCGTCGCTCTCCGTGGTCCGGTACTGTGGGAAAGGAGTGTCTCAGTGCGAGTAGGTGGCCCTCTTGGTAAGTAGAGTATAGTCCCGGTTGTGGTGTGCCATCGGGCTGGTTCACCGATTCTGGGGGCCACGTGTGCATCTCCAGCTTCTCCCAGAAGGAGCAGAATATGTTAAGTCAAGTCGGAGCTCTGTGTCCCTCCAGGCTTTGCTTAGTGCTGCGGCGTGTGCATAGTAGGAGAGCTTCAAGACCTGTAAGTACTTGGCAAAATGCTGTCAAGGAATTTAAAAGGACATTAAAGGACCACTATAGGAACCCAGACCTTCAGCTTAATGACGTGGTCTGGGTGCCAGGTCCATCTAGGGTTAACCCTGCCAGCTGTAAACATAGCAGTTTCAGAGAAACTGCAATGTTTACATTAGGGTTAATCCAGCCTCTAGTGGCTGTCTCATTGACAGCCGATAGAGGCGCTTCTCACTGTGATTTTCACAGTGCGAAGACGCCAGCGTCCATAGGAAAGCATTGAGATATGCACGCATGTGCATTCAGCGGATGACGTCGGAAGAGGGAGGAGAGTCCCCAGCGCCGAGGGAGCCCGGCGCTGGAGAAAGGTAAGAATTTAACCCCTTACTCCCCTTTCAGCCCGACGGGAGGGGGGACCCAAAAATCCTATAGATCCAGGAAAACGAGTTTGTTTTCCTGGCACTATAGTGGTCCTTTAAGCCCATGCCTAAAGTACTTTTGAAAGTGCTCTGCCTATGTTCTATCCTGAGTGCTGCTGATCTCATAGGTTCTGTTAACCTGCAGTACATTTTCACATGGCTAATATTTCTCTTCTTTAGAACTGCCCATTCTAGGTGTTGCTAGGTGAAGCAAGTGGCATCATTGGCATACCCACATAGGCCCACCCACCACCTATCCTAATTTCCTACCACAGGAATGTTGGACGGTATAATAATGAAAGCTATTCCTTTGTCAGTAAGCTATAAGGAATGCTAGTGTGAGTTTTGAGCACTTTGTTCTTAATGTGTATTAAAATGCTACTATTTCTGATTTTTACACAATGCCTTCTTATTTGATTTATTCCTTTACAGGGGTAAACCACTTTCAGCAATCCAGATGTTTTGCCCCTTTTATGGCTGTAAGGCCATGGAAGATGTAGTCCACATCAGTATCTGGCGTGTCGAAGGTTGCCTACCACAATCTAGGACAACATTGTATTTAGAACATCTTTTGAAATGCATTTTACGATCACATTCTTTGTGTTGTCTCATGCAAAAATAGCTGTGCTTACATTCCATAAAATATATTTAAAATATATTATAAGATTTTCATGGCGAGCACACTCCTCCGTTGCCAGGCTTCGCTCAGAGCAGGAACTTCCGCTTGGAGTTTCGGCAGACCTCAGATAAATTACTGTTCTCAAACTGTGTGACTACTTGGCACTCTTGAGACCCTCTTAGCACCATAACCATTACAGCAGGTGGTAGTAACAGTGCCCGGAGTGTTGGCTACTCTTGGTACCAGAACATTTCCTTTAAACTATATAAAAGTATATTTCAGTTTTGTTGCAGGCCTATTTTATTACAGTTCTATGTTTGCAGAAGTTGTGAAATTGAAACTATGTCTGGCTTCATGGTGTGCTAAACTCAACATGTCACAACACTTACTGAACAAAAAGTCATAAGCTGTGGAGCATTGGTGAAGTATCGGAGTGTATGCTAGTACATACAGTACTGCCAGACTTGCCTGAGGCTGGTAATGCAGGTTAGAAGTAGAAAAAGTAGGAGTGGCTTTAGGCCTCTAGTTGGTTATAATTTGATCAGCTATAGACTATACGTGGAGTAAAACTTCTGTTGCGACAAATAACATTGCAGTTTATATATTTAGGCATACTACTTCTTCTATAAATTGCCAAACTCTTAGCTTTTTTACTTCATGCACATATATTTAGGTATAAAGATGTACATCATTGTACATAGTTTTCTTATGTGTGCACGTCTGAGCGTGCACTATGTTTTCAGAGGGTTAGACAGAACAAAACCACAAAGTAATTTGTGTTTTGTTTTATTTAATTTTGGTCAAGTTAAACCAGTCATAGCTAACTTGAAACAGTTGTAGGACCCTCTTTGTGATCAGTATTATAGAACTTTAAAAAGGGACTCTATAGTCACCAGAACAACTACAACTTATTGCATTTGTTCTGGTGAGTAGAATCATTCACTTCAGGCTTTTTGCTGTAAACACAGTCTTTTCAGAGAAAATGCAGTGTTTACATTACAGCCTAATGATAACTTCACTAGCCACTCCTTAGGTGGCTGCTAGAGCTGCTTCCCATCCTTGTCTTTCCTAGTTTGAATCACAGCATTCAGTATCACCTCCGTCTGCATGCAGACATTGAACTTTCTTCATAGAGATTCGTTGATTCAATTCATCTCTATGAGAAGATGCTGATTGGCCAGGGCTGTGTTTGACTTGTGCTGGCTTTGCCCCTGATCTGCCTCCTTTACAGTCTCAGCCAATCCTATGGGGAAGCAATGTGAATGGCTTAAAACACTTCTGGTGATGTCAGCAGGCAGCTTGCTGTTCTAAGGCAACCCGGGGCAAAACCAGCAACTGCAGACTTGAATACAAGTACGATTTTACTATAGGGAGGCAAGAGGGGGCCAGGGGGATTAGATGGTGGTTTTAACACTATAGGGTCAGAAATATGTTTGTGTTCCTGACCCTATAGTGCTCCTTTAAGGGTTGCTACAACCACCATGACCACTCCAGGGATTTGAAACACAACACACACAGATGTTAATTGTTTCCTGGTGGCTGATTGCACTCTCAGCACACCTGACTTAGGCAGCCCAGAATTCGGTGCATAAAATAGGTCTGTGGTCAGCACGCACTGCATGCTATCAACAGACATGAAAATCTTTCCCTTGCAGGTAGACTACCTCTGAAATCCCTCCCGCCTTCCTCCATGCACATTGGCTGTGCATGCGCTCTGAGATGGCGTAACGGTCCAATCACAGGCTTCTCTATGAGAAACCTGAGATTGGACTGCACGTGGTCCCAGTCATGTCAGGGGGATTCAAGGAGAGTAAAACTGTTTTTTTTTTATTTTATTTTTTTAAGGTTTTAGTACAAATTGAAATTGAGAGGGGGACCCTCCTCATACTGCCCAGTAAGGCATATTATAACAAAACGGTCCCTTCTCCCAAAAGGGTTATAGTAACCCTTTAATATGAAATATTACAGAGCATGCTCACAAAAGCAGTCATGCACAGATTGGCCAAGATACATTCTTACTAAAGTTGTGACATACAAAATGTGCCTGGACTAGAACTCTCTCTAGCATGTAAGCTCATTGAGCAGGGCCCTCAACCCCTCTCTGTTCCTGTGTGTCCAACTTGTCTGGTTACAACTACATGTCTGTTCGTCCACCCATTGTAAAGCGCTGCAGAATTTGACGGCGCTCTATAAATATCATAATAATAATAATAACTCTCTGCAAACAAGGGATATATGCTTATTGCAACATTTGTGTCTTGGCAGCTAGTCACCTTGCTCTGCATCAATCTTTGGTATAAAAAGCTACATGTCTGATTTTGTGTCATAAACATATTACAAGAAAATATAGCGTGTTCAGCATGTAAAATACTATCACAAACACAGGCACTTTACATGTGTAAATGCCAAAAAGGGGAAAAACAAACATCATAATAAATAATAAAGTACCCCATAACCAAATAAAAAATATAAATATACCTGCAGTCACTTATGGAAATGTCATCAAAATAAATGTACCATAAAAGTATTTTGAATATATCAATATAAAGTATGTATATAAGAAGTGATTCAGCTAACTGTACACCTAGAACCACTCAAACGGAAAACATGTTTTTGTAATTGAAAAATAAACGAAAACAGTGGAACCTCAGAACCGAATCAACATTTCCCATAAGCATTAATGTAAATTTGATTAATCCGTCCCAGACCCCCAAAATTACAGCATTTTAATACAAATATTAGTTTAATAATGCCTTACGTGCATAAAATCATACAGGAAATAAATTTAAAAACAATGTACAGTAAATGAAAATGTAACTTCATTTAAACTGTAATGATGAAAGTTGATGGCGTAAGTGGAAAGGAGAAGAGCTATTATTGTTTAAATTGGGATAGGTAACTGTTCTTCTGGCATAGAAAATGTATCTGAAGTGTTTCTAATTAAAATGTTTGTGGCATGATTTGTTCGGGTACTGAGGATCATTCGGGTACCAAGACATTTTTTACTCAAAATTTTTGTTCGACTTCCGAATTGTTTGAGAAATCGACCGTTCGCGTTCCGAGGTTCGACTGTACAAGAAATATCTTCCTGTATTATTTTGTGAAATGCACAACTTGCTACTTGCCATGATTTTTTATTTTTATGATTTACTTATACACTGCATGTAACAAATATGCAATAACGGTAGTAATCCACACTTCTTGATTCTTGAATGGGGCACCTTCAAATTGACTCCCTGTTAATCATTTCTGCAAGGTCTGTCCTTTGTTCTGTCATGAAGACCACATATAGAGAAGAGGAAACCTTTAATAATGTTTCTACTTCTCTGTCAGGATTACTGTTGATCCAGCACGCAGAATAGTATCAAACCTAGAACTAAGGATAACGTTTAACCGGACTTAACGTACCTGAGAATAGTCAAAATACTTGCCGAGGTCAGGGACACAGAATGAGACACAACAATGAGGAAAGCCAATAGTCAGGGATACCATAATAAAGGAAAGTCAAAACAAAGCCAAAGTCAAATACCAGAAAAAACACGTTCAGGAACACACTCTCGGATAACCAGCTAGTGGAAACCACGACAGGGCACTTGTAAAAATGTAATTTTGGTTTAAATAACCCTCCTTAGGCTGTAATTGGCTGTCTCTGACCTCTGACCCCAAAACGTGTGCGCGCGTCTATGACGTGACGTTGCACGCACATTGGTAAGTTTCTTTTAAAAGCCCGAACTGCAGCGGACGGCGTTCCTAAGAACATTGCACCCGCTGGGGACCGGAAAGGAGGGAGGCAGCTGCCTGCCGGGGGCAAAGGTAAGTCTGAAATATCTGTGTCGGTGTGGCTGCTTAGTTTGTGTGCAGCCACGCTGGCAGAGGGACTGGAAGCCGTGACATTCTCATCCTCATTTGCAATGTGTGCCCTGGCTGTGCCTAGATGAAATTGTATTGTAATTTTCTACACGTTTACTATAACTCTAAAAGAAATTATCACGTGACAAAAGGTTAACTTGGGTCATGGGTGATTTTCACAGTTATATTTTTAGAAAAAAGACAGCGATCCTTTAATATCTTGTTGCTAGTGAGGACAGCCATCTTTAAAGGGACACTCCACTTCAATTCCCAAATGGTCAAAAAACTAGAAATTCCTATTTAGTAGATCTAGTCCAATGAATACATGCACATATGGTGGGGATAAATCTTAAAAGAACTTGCAATAGCTGCAGTTCTTATGGGAAATAATCTAAAAGAGACTTCTCATTGAGAAGCCTCTAAAGCTCTCTCTCCTGTTTTAAAGCCAGTGGAGGTGGTGGGGGGGGGGGGTTCATAGAAGTCAGCACTCTTTCTAAACGGTCATTATAATAGGATGCTCCTCACTTTAAAGCACTACAGCAAGTTGAAGTGTTTTATGGGGGTGAAGTGGTTCTTTAAGACTTTTTAAGGCATCAGTTGTATGCCAAAACCATGGGCAATTTAAACTTGAACTCAGCTGAGAGTGCATATATGAAATGCTGGTACTCTTACTTTTGCATAATGTCAGGCTTTGTGAATATGAACTAGCTTTTCATTACCTGATTCATAAACAGTGCTTCATGCCAAAGATAATTTAGACAGCCACCCCATGGATGCAGTTTAAGCCAAAATTTGCACTTGAGAGGTAATTGCTTGTCAAATGTCATCATCAGTTACCAATTGTAATGTACTTTAACAAAAAAGCTAAATAAAGATATGGTAATCCCTTGTATATGGGCATTGCAAAATACATGAAATCTTTTACCTTAAATCTAAAGTTAAAACATATATTTTCCTTCAAGATCATATATTTTACATATATCAGTGATCAAATTGTGGCAGTAAAAGTGTCAGTAGACTTTAAAAGTAACCTTAAAGGGGGGGGGGCGGAGCTTGACCATCAACCTGAATAGACTCCATTCTTGCATGCTCCTCTGCAAAACCTACTATCCAAGGAAAATCCCATTACCCCAAGCCAATCCAGCTCCAAACAATTGCCAGCAAGACTCTTTAACTCCTCCTGTGGCGATAGATGCCATTCTTTGCGGCCTCCATCCAGCCGAGGTGGAGGCGGAAAATCAGGGCCTACCCCACGCTGACACTTCAAGGCCTGGAGGCAATATTCACCCGTAATGTGGCGAGACAACAGTGGGACAAAGCCTCCCCAATGAGGTCAGACCAGCCCGCTCATAAGCCAGCCATGGGCCGCCGCTCACAGCGACCACGGCAGACAGAAGGGATATCTGGGCCATGTCCAGCATAGCCTATCCCCTACTGTCCCAACATGGCACTAGCCACACATAGATGAACAAACTAAACCTGGACCAGGTACTTCACCAAACGAATAGAAGGGTGACACGCACACTCTTCCTAACCCCTGGACTGCAAAAATAAAGAGTTGTAAAAAATAACAAAAATTTACCTTAAAGGGACACTATAGTTACCAGAACAACTACAGCTTAATGTAGTTGTTCTGGTGAGTATAATCATTTCCGGCAGGCATTTTAATGCAAACACTGCCTTTTCAGTGAAAAGGCAGTGTTTACTCGCACCCTAGGGACACCTCCAGTGGCCATCCTTAGATGGCCACTGTATGTGCTTCCTGGCGCAGTGCTGCACAGTAGGCAGCACTGCAGTTCAGCGTCTCGACGCTCAGCATAGAAATACTAATTTTCCGCAGAATTTGATTCACTTCATCTCTGAGGAGGTGCTGATTGGCCATTCCACCTCCCTGCCGATTACAGCCGATCCAATGCTTTCACTTTATGTATTCCTGAAATTAAAAACACTATTTAGTCTCCCCACCCCCCTCCTGTATATATAATTTCCAGCGCCACGTAGGTCCAGCAGTGCTGGCCCCGCCTCTTTGGCTGACCTCATCAGAATTGATTATGTCAGCCAATCACAATGCTTTCCCATAGGAGGCGGTCAGTGTGGAGTCAAAAGCCGCCCTGGCCAATCAGCATCTCCTCATAAAGATGCATTAAATCAGTGCGTCTCTATGGGAATGTTCAGCATCTCCATGCAGAGTGTGGAGACGCTGAACATCGGTACTGCACACTGTACAGCACTAACCCAGGTAGCATCTCTCGTGGCTGTCTGCAATGTAAAGACTGCATTTTCTCTGAAAAGGCGGTGTTTACAGCAAAAAGACAGCAGGGACAGGCTATAGACACCAGAACAACTACAATAAGCTGTAGTTGTTCTAAATACCATAGTGTCCCTTTAAAATCTGCTTGTAATCTTACTCTCTTAAAGGCTGAGTAAATAAAAAAAAATAATATGGCTTTTAGAACCTCTTTTTTGTCCTTTTGTTTGATTGTTTGTTTATTTAGATGTTCATAGAAAATTTATTCTGCATATGCTACTGTAATTTATTCTTTCTGAACAGGATGTATTTGTCATAAGCATCTGTAATAATGTTTACTTAATCCTTCCTTTTAATTCTCTACTACAAAAACTATTTTGAATCAACTTTCAGATTTTGCAAAGTACACATTTTTCTTTCTTGTTCCATGTTCTTGCTACTTACATATATAAATTGCAGGGATCTGTGCATGTGATGTTATATTTCAATTTTTGTGGAATCAGATTACCAAATGTAGTGTAAGACAATCTTGGCAAATGCAGTCTTCAGTACCTGTGATGTAAGAACTTAGCTATAGAAACAAAATGGTGTAATGTATTCAATCATAAAAGAAAAAAACCTGAGGTCAGTTCAAGGTGAGATAAGCCATGTTGGTTAAAATCCATATTGTGCAATGCCCTTCTTTAATGTTTCTTTATGACAATACAGTCAGTGTTTCTTTGTGTTTTTTGGACTTAACCTTTCTCTTTGTTCCATTGTTTGTTGTTACGCACATCTAATATTTGCCTGTATTAATACTGTTGGACAAATAGATACAGTGTTAAGAAATGAGTTGGTTGCTTTGGTCTGATAATGTCACTTTTTGCCTGGGTAATAGAAAGGACTACCTGATAGTTTTTCCATAATAATGGATTGAGGACTGCAATATGGTAACCTACAGTTTGGATACACTGCATTATGGTTGAATTGCAACTCTTTGATCTTCTGATACATGTCGTTTGGATCCATTTCTGAGAAACTTCTAGCTCCATCATAGCTTTAAAGCATTTTAATATGTAAGCACTACCTTCCCACATATCAACCGCTAATAGTTTCTTTCTTTCTTTCTTCCAGACATCTGTCATCCTGTGGTATTCTCATGACAAGAAACTCTAAAGGAATCTTGCAAGATGCCAGCAGTCCTTGTGTTCAGCACTGTCGGAGCTTCCTGGGCTTTGGTGGGCCACTGACCAATAAACGGAAGGAATATTCAGAGAGGAGGATTATTGGGTAAGGGGGAAATCTCTATATTCTAACCATATGTGGACACACTCCTACAGTATTAAATATATCTTTCTCCCTTCAACTACTCCTAGAATGCAAAATATTATTATTCCCTTTTTACATTCTAGGTTACAATGTGGACATGTAATCTGCAATGATATTTATTTAGTAAACTTTCTACATTTTCTCTTTTTTAAGTTTTGTGTGTCATAAATATGATAAAGTATAGTCTAACTATCAGGATTATTCACTAAAGTTTGAATTGTTGGCAATTCAAATTAAATTAAAACTGACCAAAATAACCAAATTGGAGGGAAAAGTCTCCAAGTGGCCTTATCAAATCTTCAGTAAAGATTGCCATAGGCAGAAATGCTTCTAAGAAGAGCAGAGTTGAGCTTTGGAATTTCCAACTCTCAGTTGCTTGTAGTGCAGGCAGGGAGCACAAACTGGCAGTCCCCAGGGTAGAAGAGGGGCGGTTTAATCCCTTAAAGCAGGGGTTCCCAACCCAGTCCTCAAGTACCCCCTACCAGTCCAGGATTTAGAGATTACCCTGTTGTGTATAAAGTGTTTTTTCTTTTTTTCCTAAAACACCTTAGATACAATTGGGTAATCCCTAAATCCTGGACTGGTAGGGGGTACTTGAGGACTGGGTTGGGAACCACTGCCTTAAAGGAAGGCTGAGGTGGGGTCTCTTGCGCCGAGGAGAGCGGCCGCCTCCCCCCTGCTTCAGCCCCAGTAGGCCGCATTTGGTTCTCAGCGTTCCCTGCTCCGACAGGCCCCCGGATGGTATCGTTGGGTTCAGTGGGGCAACCCCGCCGCTTTTTGCCCCGGATTCCGCTCCGCCCCATGTTTTTTTGTTTGTTTTGTTTTTGTTTTTTATGGGTTATCAGGACAATCACATTGGATGCTCCAACAGTAGTCTGCCATCCTGTGTCTGTCCCATCTGCTTTTTAAAAGTTGACATTTTTCCTTTGTCCATTTTTCCACTGTCGTAGGCACTCTACACAGGTCTTGTAAATGTTGTGGGAAATCAATACTTATCTTGTTCCCCAAACTTTACTCCAGGGGGGCGGGGCCGGGCCGCCAAGCAGCATGGCAGCAAAGTAACATGGCTCCGGGACAGAATCCTGAAAAATGCCACACAACTCACACACAAGCTGCCCCAAAGCAGAAAAACATACAGTAGTGATACGGGCACCACCCAAGCTACCTTACCATACCAAACCGCAGCCACAATCGCATCAGGAACACCGAAACGGACGAACCCGGCCTACACACCAGCTTGAGCCTAAACATGGGCAACCGCAGGCTGGGAACTGCCACTTAAGAGCTGGACAGGAGGAACAGACATACAGGTCGAGGGGACCTCCACAGGGATCTACGCGGCGAGAGCTGCGGCCCCGCTCCGCCCCCCCCTCCCTTCCCCGGCCGGTGGGGGTAATCCTGGCCACATGGAGGCCACACAACCCGGGCTGGACGCCACCACCGGGGGAACGCACGGCCCTCCTGTACAGGCACAGGCTGCCTAACCGTGGCCCGCCAGATAACAACACCTGAAATCAAGGGACGTTTATTACCCAACTGCTTATTTCAGGTCAGACTGCTGGCATTACCTTGAGAAGCTGCCCCATGGATGTGACACCCACAGGCGGAGATGGGCACTAGGGGTGATGCACGTGGGCGGAGGAGGCCAGGCGGGACGCGGCCGCGACATCCTTGGGACCCGCTGGCTGGATGCTGCGACCCTGGGATTGTGCCTTGCTGAGAGCGGATCGCCGTCACCTCTGGGTTTTGTGGAGGGCCAGGAGGTGGCTGTCCCCGACACTGTGTGCCCTTGTGGAGTGGAGCGCGGCGGCCCCCGGCGGACCGGTGGCTAAGGGGAAGTCGGCGCCTGCCCTAAGAGGCCGGAGAAGGGTGAGACACAAGACGGCCTTCGCCTCATCCGGCTGGGGCTCCGGAGGCGCGGTGGGGGTGCAGGGGATGACTGGCGCACGGACTCTAGGTGGGGGGGTCTTGTGGGCTAGTGGGTCCCCGGGTGCCCGCTGCGCTGAAGATCCCCTGGTCGGAAGCCCGGCATGACCTGGGGGGGCGCGGCGAAAGGCCGGCGCCCCGGGGACTGGCTGCGGATGGGTCTGCAGTCGGCTCCCTCTGCTCGGAATGTGTTGTACCTGCAGCCCGCCCGCTGTCGGGGGACTAAGATGAATACGCAGCTTATGACAAGGGACTCAGCTACACAGCAGAAGCATTCGAGACTGACCTTATAAGCTGACTGCCATGCTTGTCTGAAAGTTTCAGAAGTTCTATAATAGTACTCTTCTGTACGAGCTGAATATTTAGGGATTCTGGCTCATGTTATTAGATAATTAGGATGTTTTAATATGAATAAGTTTATGGGTTCTTGCTTTGCATTGCCACCGGAGGCGCTTGTTCCCTGATGTCTCTCAATACACTTGATCCATGACATGCTTATTTTGCAATTAGCTAGACACTGCTATACTGTTACAGATATGATGTAATGTTGATGACATTATCTCTACTATCAATACACTTGAATCCTGACATGCTTATTTTGCAATTAGCTAGACACTGTGGGGCCATTACAGATAGGATGCATCATTGCCTCACGGTGCCTGACTAATATACCATTTCCACCACATATGTTCACCGCACCATACTTATTGGCGGTTATTTAAGCTTAACGAAGCCCTTCATGCTGAACATGCACTGAGCTTAGCATCAGCATCTGTTCGCTCCTATATTCACTCATCAGTTGATTCCAAACAAGTTAAGCATTATCGAATAAGGCTCACAGCTACGTGCATACTAATGTTTAATAGTTAAAAGCCAAGTTTTAAACACAGCGGTAGCGTACGTCTAGAGCGCTAACCAGATAGTTGAAAAAGTTTTTATATCTTAGATTACTGCTTAATGTCGGACTCCAATTAGCCAGCTGATTCACCTGCCTCTGCACAGGCGAGAATTTGCATTTACCAACTAGCAAACACGTAGCTCTGGCACATGCCAGTTAACTTAAAACAATTAATTAATGCTATAACCGAACTAAAAAGGTAACACAGTACAACACAAAGCAACCCACTGTGCACGAAAAACACAAGCTAGGACAAATCCGCCTCTACGCAGACAACCAAATGTATATGCAGTGTTAAACCAATGCCTAAGCCCCTGCGTGGGCAATCACTTTCTTTATTACAAATCAATTTGATGTATGACTTTATATTATGCACACAATAAAAATATTTAAAACAAACTTTACTCCAAATTAAGCCGATATACTTGTCTTAAAGGACCACTATAGTGCCGGAAAACAAACTCGTTTTCCTGGCACTATAATATTAATAGTTCCCCCCCACCCTCAGGGGCCCCCCTCCCTCCCGCCCGGCTGAAAAACTGTAAACTGGGCTGGCTGGAGGTAGGTAGATAGCAGATGCCATATGACTTCAATCTGCTTATTGAACAGTTTAATTTAACCTATGTAATAAATGGAATCACAGCCTTGGGGTAAATGACATATCATATAAAACCACTGCTGTGCGCAAGGGGTTCTATTTTAGTAATTGTATACATGATTTATTGTTGTGCATTATGAGTTTATCAAAATGAGAGAAATTCCTGTGGATCTAGTCACTTCACAGCTATTTTTGCCCTCAAGGTGGCTAAATGATTTGGTTTTATTTGTTAAAATCATAATAGATGTAGATTTGACTTTAAACAATTTTTTGGGGAAAGTGAAAGTCATTTAATCTATATTTGCAGTGGACCTGTGCTTTTGTACTGATAAGAAGTCTTAGTGTACACATTTCCAGTATAAAATACATTTCTATATCTTCAATTACTAGAATCCATGTAACAGAACATATTAGTCATATAACAGCTGCAAGAGGCCTCCTTGCTTAATGTGGGACAGTACTGATTTTGGGTACCTTTCATACCGTCCCAGGTTTGTTCCCTGGTGTCCTGGTTTTTGGGTGAACAGGAAACTGTCTAGAATAAGTGTAGTATGAGAACATCATTAGAGGCACTTACACTTTGCTAAGGTTGTCAGGCAATAAGCAGAGTCCTATAACCGTGCCCTGTGCATTGTTCAACCTTAACGGGGCCAGACAACGTGGGCCTCAATTTAATATTTTTGGATACACTTTTAAATGATTTAAAAAAAAATTAAGATATGTATAAATATTTTTTTTTAAATCATATATAAAATATATATATACCAATACATCAAAAGCAATTTTTTTCAAAATATTAAATAATTTTAAACGTTTATCTGAAACAGTTCAATTATTTTAAAAGCTAACCAAAAAAAATTAATTGAGGTTGTGATTGGCAGACATGACAGGCTGACATGTCCTTTATTCGGGTGGGCCTGCTCCCTTTCAATTACTTGCTTTCCCACCCACATACTGCTTTACATAACTCCCTACAATATAAGTAAAGAACATCTCTATAAACTACATTCCATTACTGTTTGTATATTCAAACAATACTTATGTCATCTTATTCTGCGTAACTGAAAACCGGAGGGATTACCAAAATTGTCTCTCAGCTGATACAAACTATTACTGGCAATACAAACTCTAATGGTGGGTGAGGAATTTCTCATTTATCTCCCAGAAAGAGTATATAAGTCCTTTATGTTTAGATTTTACATAGACAGGGAGAGAACTGTTGGTCCTGTGGGTTTTCTTTTATTAACAGTTTTTGTATGAGTAATTTATTATATAATTATTTATTTAGTGAGAACTCTGCAATATAAACTCTTCAATAAGATTAAGTTTTCTGGGTGCCTATAGTGTCCCTTTAACAGGACAGGCATGCATTTAACTTGAAACTAATTTACTCTAAATATTTTCCCTAAATAAAAATGCAGGTTTTTTGTGAAACATTACACAAAGTACACATCTATGCTGAATAAAAAAATATTACAGTGTGCTTTGGTTTAAAACTTTTCCTTTCTCCTCAGATACTCCATGCAGGAGATGTATGAGGTGGTGTCCAATGTGGAAGAATACAAACAGTTTGTACCTTGGTGTAAAACGTCGACCATAATCTCAAAACGCACAGGATATGCTAAAGCACAGCTGGAAATCGGCTTCCCACCCATCATGGAGCGCTATACATCCATTCTCACATTAGTGCGTCCCCACCTGGTTAAGGTAAGGTTGTTGGTTTATTCATGTTTTTTATAATGTAATAAAGATAGTCTTGCACATATTTATCAAGCAAGGATCTTTATGATGATCAGTATTGATCATCTTTTTTATCTAGGGTTAGCCATATACTTTTGAAGTACAACTGTCATCTCAAAACAATTTTTTTAATATAAAAGTTTCATACATTTTTGAAAAGCTATTTATTTTGTTATATGAAGTAAATGTAAAAAAAAAAAAAAAAAAAAATAAAAGTATATAACAGGATCCTTCAGCTATTTATTTACACTGACATCTTCAGTGATTCCCCCGCCCCACTACCATTGTATTTGCATTGTAAAGACTTCTGGTAAGTGTGTTAGATAGAAGCATGTTTTTGTCACGACTACTGTGTGACCCAACACGCAAAACTAGAACATAAACAACGTATACTTAGAATGGCTGGACTTAACGTTAAAGAGAGAGGTCAGGGATACAGAATGCAAAAATACTAGCCCAAGGTCAGGATACTAGAAGTAGGGAAAGTCAAAATACAAGCCAATGTCAAAAAACAGAAAATATAACCAAGAACGCGCTTTCTGACAACCAACAAGTGGAAACCACGAAAGGGCACTGAAAAAGCAATTACAGGGTTTAAATATGCCTCTCAGTGCTGAGATTGGTCAGTACATGGCCTTTGACCCCAAAACTTGCATGTGACGTCACAAACACACCAGTGCCATCTTTAGTGTGGGAACTGTTTCATTTACTATTAAGAATGGGACCGCAGCAGCCAGCGTCCCTTAGAATGCCACGCCAGCCAGGATCTGTCTTACTAGAGGATCGGGCGGCAATCCGTGAGTAACTTTCTCCCATCAGGGCGCAATCGCCCTGCTCATGTGCGGCAGCACCGACCGGGGACTCATTTGCGGCTAAAGTATCTGCGTGACTGCACAGTTCAGATGCGGCCATGCCGATACAATCCCCCAGCGCCGTGGCTGTTTTACATTTTCCCCCTATTGATGACTAGCGATGCAGCTGGTTTTGAACAGGGCATGACTCTTGGGTGGGTAGAGCCCAGCAGGTTGGGAAGGGGGGGAGGGGGAAGTGCCCACATCATTAAACTTCACCAGTTGCCACTGATAACATTCAGCCGTACCATGATAAATCCATTTTCAGAACACCGCCATAAAAAATATAATCTTGTGACGGAGCTCCTGTACTCTGACCTAGTACCTCCGACCAGTCTAATTCCTAGCCGCTTGCAGGAACCCTGGAACACTTCCGCCACAGCTTGACTGGGGTCCTTCTTGAGCTCTTCCACCTGACCAGGCTGCAGCTCTCCTTCCAGGCAGTTATCGCCCCCTCTGCCTATTTCACTGTAATCCTCCGCTCTACCAGCTGAGCTGTTGAAGGAAATGTGTCCTTTTTCCAGGCAGGTATCCACATCCACCTGCAATGTTACAGCTCTTGTCTTTAAAAAGACACTTGCAGCTCTCAGGCTGAAGTAAACTTTACTCGCTAGTTGCAGTAAACCTGGAATTAATTATTATATTAATAACTAAAAATAATAACCTAAAAACCGAGTCCCCACTCCTTGCTTTCGGCAATTCATTAATATTTATTAATAGAGGCTAATTAAACAAATAAACAATACATATACATTTGAAATAGGCTAGTATATGTTGCTACCAAAACTAGTCATTGTAAACTAGTAAACTAAATTAACATATTAAAACATGCATAGACACATGATACAGTTACCACTCCATTGATCATCTGCTGAGAGTAAGAGAGGAGAGAGCATGTGGTATTCACAGGGCTTTTATCAGGATAGCCCTTCCTTATTTTGGACACGCCTCCCTCAGCCTATCCATTAGGATATAACAGAACCAGAGTGACTTCTGGGGGAAAAGGGATTGCACTGGATGGGAATGGAGGAAGAGTTTATCAACAACCAAACTGGTTTTGCTTCGTGAAAGGCCATGTGCTCACAGAGGACTCCATTATTCCCTATGGGTAGGATGTGGTTTGAATCCCTGTATACAATAACATTTCATTGGCATACAGCTTGGCTTTTAATCAGTCCCCCCACTTATTACACAGGCATAGCTTTCTTCCTTAATCACAGGGGTAGAGGGATCGTTCAGCGAGCAAACAGGTCAGAAGACTCTATCACTGGGATCCCTAGAAATACACACAGAACACAAGTTCCAAAAGGAACTAACATACAAAACTTTTTCTTTTCCCTCTGGACTAGCCCATAGACTCATTGCATGTAGAATGCTGTAACAACTTAAATAAAATACACATAACCAAATCATAGCAGACAACATACAGCAACTTATTCACATTGACATAGTTATAAGGCGGTGGGGAAGTCCATAATTAACACAAAATATCTCTCCTGCCTGCAGAATTAGGTGTTGTGTCCTTCATTATCCAGGGATCTGAAACACTTCTTTGATAATCACTGAAATCAGAGAATGATTGGAAGCTCGATATCTGTGTCCTGGTTCACTGCGGGCACACTAAAAGCATTTGTGACTGTGTAACATTACATACACACGTGATTTTTATATAAAAAAAATTTTTTTTAATACTTACACCAGTTGTCATATGCCTCAAGCAGACATGAACTAGTCTTCCAAAAATACTATAATTATAGTGTAAATGTTGACATTTTCTGGGTATATAAAAAATAAGTATGCACAGGAGTTAACTTTGAGTTACTACCAAAACTAAAAAAAAATTTTGTTTTAATTTTATTTTTTGTACATGTTTGCAGTGATATTTCCCTTTATTTTATAAGTTGTAAAACTAAAACATAGTTTTACAAGGATACCAGTCTGATTTACTCCTTGATATTGTGTGCGTGTGAACTAGAATCCAAATTGGTCTCTGCCAGTTTGGAAACTTTCCAAATGTTTTTCTTGCCCTTTATAAGTCCTAGATAGATTGCAAAGTCACAAGACATTGGCCGAGAACAAAATTGGAGATTGCTTCAAGCCAGGGGGGTGTAAACCAGGGACAAACTTGTATCCTATTTTTTTTATTTTTTGAAAAAAAAATATTTGCTTGTGCAGAAGTATATGCCTATATCTGTAATGTTAACTGTTCATGTCTCCAGGCAATTTGTACCGATGGACGCCTTTTCAACCATCTGGAGACCAACTGGCGCTTTAGTCCTGGCATCCCTGGATACCCTCGTACATGCACTGTAGATTTCTCGGTAGGTTAAATTTTGGATTATACCACCTGCATTGATATTGGAGCACCTGCATATTAACAATGTAATTGTTAGATCATTTTGTTAGTGATCCTATTCGATTGGAACAATATCCTTTTCTAGAACTGATTTCAAGAGCTGAAATTAAGACCGTTGTTTAGGATGCTTTATTACCTGTTGCTAAGTTTTTCTATTTTTGGTTGTTGCTTTTTTAATGTATATTTCGAGGTAAGTACCTAGTTTACACGATCAACCAGTCTTCAAAAATAGTTTGGAGTCTCCAGTGTCATATATGATACTTGTATATGGGAGAGATTATAATTGAGCTTATGATATCTAGGTGAGTATGAAGTAGGAACATGTTGGGTGAACAATAGCCAGATGTAATATGTTGTCTCCTACAGCATCAAACTCTTTGGACAGCAAACATTGTTTATTTGAGTACTACCTGAATGGGGGAATGCAGGTTTTTGCAGAAAAGCATTAAATACATAGTTCACGTTGACTTTTGAGCCCTCTGATGGATGGACACACTAATAATAAACACGAGGCCCTCTGTTCTTCATGATTTTAAATGTCTAAAAGTAGTAGTTCCTGAGCAGTAATGTCTTTCAGATCCATTTCAGCCGTGTAAGTAGCAGTTTTATGTCCTGATAAACTGTAACTACTATAAGTTGTAACTACTGGCAGTTATGCTATTTTTCTTTCCACTTTTTTTTTTTTTTTTAAATAATCGTATAACGTTTATTAAACAGTCGCAATAAAGAACAAAATATTCAAAGTGTCGGTAAAATATACTTAGCAGGGATGCATACAAGGGAAAAGTATATAAAACAAAATGTAGCGTAGAGTTGGCAAATCAGGGACAAAGATCCAATAATAATCCATTGTAAGTGGGGAAAATGGTACCAAGAGCCGTTGACTGCTCGAAATAAAAAGAATAGATAGAAAGAAAGGCATGACGAAAGAGGAGGGGGGGGAAAGGTGAGATGAGGAAAATACAGGAGGAGGCACATATTGTAAAGGGGAAACGACTCCAAGCCTAAACTCCAGTGCCCAATTCAGAAGAGGTGTGTCTAAAATTACCAAGGTAAGGAAATATAGAATTCACCATCCGTTTCCCTAGAGCCCGACAACTTTTTGGACATTCTTTGAAACCAATAAAACCAGTTGAAAGTATAGCTTTGGTGCCTTTTGTGTGTGGGGGGTGGAGAAATTATTTGTTCATAGGAATGTGAACATTCTGAGAATCTGGACTTGGATTGTAGGTACCACTATCTGTTTTGTTTTTTTTTTGGGGGGGGGGAGTGGGAGGGTTGTGTTTTTTTTGTTTTCTAGAGCCTTTGGATGAGGCTGCGTGTGGCTTTTAATTAAGTGTGTGATTACTGATAGATTAGAATGGTAACTTTTATGAGATGCAATAGCATACTACCCCAACATTGGCGTTCTGAGAGACTGGACTCTGCTAGGATGAGATAAAAGGGGCCAGTGACTCAATTGTGCCACTGATTTTGCCTAAAGGGGAAGGCAGGACTTGCCGGGAGAACTAGGGATGGTTTGGAGGCATGCAATAGGTATGTTCCCATTGTGAATTGAAGAGAAGAATCCACCATCCAGGAGACCACCTAATAGATCTATTGCCAGAAAGGTGTTATCAGAGGTAACCCCACCAACATTCCAGGTCAGCTTTAAAATAAATTAGATAAAATCTCAGGGGTGCAGTGCCAGTGTGTGATCAGTTTATATCCTTCCTCATGATATTAGGTGCTAATGGACTATTAATGTGTGAGTAAGAAAATTAGATCCTATTGAGTTCTGTCCAGGGAGATTAGTAAATCTCACAATTCACTACTAGGGGAGGGAGGAATTCAGCTAATGGGGTTATTAGTAATTTGTACAGAAAGGAAATTCAATGAGGTTGGGGTCCTGAATGTAAACAGAGGTCCTCATTGTAGGAGAGTGTGCACGTGGTTTGCGCATTGTGGAGAATGGGATGGACTTAATGGTACCGGACCATCAGGGAGGGTGCAAGAAGGCCCAGTAGGCAACCTAAAGAGGTAAAAAGCCCCACTAACACAAGCTTTTATAGTGTTAGAGGGGAGGAAACGACATTTGGAAAGAGGGGGTGGTGAGCAGGAGGCATAGGTGGATTGTCTGAAAGTGGAATCATGCATAAGGGGAAAGAAGCGAGAGAGTATTAAAGAGTCAGGTGTATAGTGTAGACAGAATGGTCATGTGGCAGGCATAGAGGAGTTTGGGATGGAAGGATGAAGTAAAGGAGAAATTATGATAGCTCATTCTTGGTGACCGCCACTACAGGGTCCTTTACATTCATGACAGAGTTTGGCTTGGGTATGTGATGTTTGACGTCCTCACAAATTGAATGATGATGCTGATGTCTTCAAATGCTGCTCATATGAAACCGTCGGATTCAATTCTTTGCTATGTAAAACATTTGAGTCGATGTGCTCATCATGCATGCACATCATTGAAAAATTTACCTCTCCAGTAGGTGGAGGAGGAGCAGGTGGCAGCACCAAGTGAAATTTTGCTCTGGAAAAATAGTCAAAAAGTGTTTGTGTTTTTAATGCTAAAATGTTTCTTTAAGCACCAATGACATTAATCTCACATAAGTACTAAAGTATAAATATCACTTCAGCCTTTCTTGAAGATTAAGCCTTCATATCCATTTATAAGCTCATTGTTAATTAACCCTGATGTATTGTTTTAAAAGATGTAGAAATACATATATAGCTAATTTATTGTTAGGAAAAAATAAAAATTCAAGAGAAACCTTGCAACAGGAATCATGCTCTTGTGCTCCGGTGGTGCATTTTTTTGTTGTTCACTGACTGGTTCTTTTAGCAAATGTTCAATCCGAAAAAAATATGTTGCTCCACATTTCTGCACAAGGCAGTGAGCTCTCACATCACCCATGCTACCATGCTTGTGCCAATTGTTTGGCTCAGTTGCAAAAATAAATACTTCTGCTGCATTCACAAATGGTGTGCATTTATAAATGTTATTGGGTATGCATATGATTTTTTTTTCCTGAAGCACTCTTATTTGTACTTCTGTCTCCGTTATAGATATCCTTTGAGTTTCGGTCCCTCCTGCATTCCCAGTTGGCTACTGTCTTCTTTGATGAGGTGGTAAAGCAGATGGTTGCTGCCTTTGAGAGGCGAGCAGGAAAGAACTTTGGCCCTGAGACAGTAATTCCTCGTGAGCTTATGTTCCATGAAATACACCAGACGTGATGACCACTGGAGGGCCGCTTGGTACCGGGAGAGAATGCAAGAAGACATCAGCGCAAACCAACCCAGAAGTCCACACATCCACTATTGAAGATGTGCCCCTCACCTCCCCTCCACAGCTTTGTGCACTCACTGGGACATCAAGCCTTTGAACCACACTTTTTTTTTTTTATATATATATATAAGCAAAATATTTATTTAAAGTCACATCAAATATATATCATCAATAGTCTTCAATGACGGGACAGAGGTTGGCATGCTTCACCCCACCAAAACTGGTGCCTCCTGCATGGCTGAAGCTACTTTTTTTTTTTTTGTAGAGTGTGTTCTTATAGTAGTTGGTTTTAAGGTGTATAACAGAGGATGATAAACGGTAGGGAAGTCTTTAGAACTGTGATTATTTTCATATCACAGTGGAAAGAGGACTTAGCAGCACTGATAGATTATTGTGCTTGAATCTACCTTCTAATTTTCTGCCCATTTTTAATATGATAACCCATACCTTGGTTAAGCTCACCCAATTGTGAAAAAAAAATAGTACACTATTCATCCCAGATTCCTCCTCTGCACAATTTATAGTTTTCAAATAGAAAAAGTCTTGTTTCCATACATCTCAAATAACAAAATCTGAAACCGTAACACCAGTGACAAGATTATTTTGTAGACGGGGCTGATCTGCCTGATGATCAATTGGCTACCATTTTGCACTAACGTTACTTTCCAAAACAAGACCAGATTAGGTATTATTAAAGTCAAACTTTTCAGGTTACATCTAGTTAGGTGAGCTATTGTGACTTATGAGGCTAGAAGCAAAACTGGAATTAGACCATCATCAGAATAATTGACAATTTTCATTTTACTGTCACATTTAGCAATATGCTGTTCTATGCAATGTTTGTGCTTGTTCTACTGCGTGCTAGTAGATGATCAGTAGGAAGCTACTTGTATATTACCAAATTAGCCTGGGAGACTTTGTCTGATTGTGAGGAAAGCAGGAAAATGCATAAAAGGACCTGCCACAGTCAAAGGTGGCCTACACCCTTAACTTTTCCTTTTTTTTTGGTTTAGATTTCTTACACAGACCTCTTGAAGGAAGGATGTAACTTGTACTGTCAAGAAACAAAAAGCCAAATTGGAGTGTTTGTAATTTTTCTTGGACCCCCCGAGATCCTGTATATGAATATAGAGGAATAGTGTATATTCTAACAACACATTCTTGTGCAAAAGTAAAAATATATTTATATACATATATTAAACAAAAAAACTAAACAAGCACTCTAGCCCTTTAGTGAAGGGATGGGAATTTTGCTGGCTGCCTGCCAAGCTAAAACTGTTTACGGACAATAAAGTGCAATACCATCCCGTCCTTTATATTGCTGCTGTATGACTAGCCAAGAGCTCACAGAAAGGAAATGAACTCGACCTTATAGAGTCTTGGGTGTTTGTGCTGATATTGAGCTGGAGAACATCAATACCTTTGGTGCTCTGGAGATGCATCTAGTGGAAAACCTGTTAATTCCCATCAGCATGTGCGGCTAAAAGCAATTGCAGTTATTTTCTTATAGGTGGGAGGAGAGTCCGGGACCACTTGTTATTAAACTTCTCCTCGTTACTAATGCAGGTGGATTTGTTATGCTCTGCAACAAAGGTTGGGGAAGAATTATTGGGAAAACCAACAGATCTTCTTAAAAACATGTTGTCTCTCTACCTCCTGCCGTTGTATCTGTCCAGTTTTTTTTTTTTTTTTTTTTAATGTAGAGCTGTCAAAACAAACACAAGGGACTCCTTTCAATAAAACAACAAACATTTGTAAAGGTGCTAAATGATAATGTGATCACGATTATTTTATTTTTTTCTAATCTACTTTTGCAGTAGACTCCCTACAGTGATGACTCCCTAGAAATATGGTTGATATTTAGTGCTGTTCCATAAATGTTATCTGTTAAAAGGGTGGCAACCTGTGAAGACTCAGCATGGGCTTCTATTGTATGCATAAGTGAGACAATGAAATCTGAAAACCAGTGAAAAGATAAATATCTATTGACAGGCTAGAATTTCCAAACACAAACCGTTGTTACACCAAGGCTGGCTGGATTGTGCTAGACAATTTAGATAAAATGAACATATTTATTTAAACCCAGTATATTTACAGACATAAAATCAAATATATACCTAGCAGAGGATTAAAGCAGTCCAATCAATCACATTACGATTACTGCAATCATGGTGGAGTATAAATCGTCTGAATTTATTGGGCTGGCAGCAGTATCTCATGTAAGTGCTTATAGTGCATAAAGTCCTCTGGCAACATCCCTCCATCCAGTGTTAAACCATTTTCTAATATGTTAAAAGTAAATTAGAGTTCAAGGGCCCCTGCTTTTAGCCTATCACTGCAGCATATAAGGGGCCAGCCCTTATGTGCTGCAATGATAGACTAAGAGCGCTGGCTGACCATTCTCCATTTATCATACCCACCTACTACTGGTATTAGACGGTATGGCTAATTGGCACAATTGATACTTGGAGGCCTCATAACTTCCAAGTGTATTTCAGAATCTTTAGAACCCAAATCAATCTGTCCTGCTTTTCTCTCCAGTTGTCCCTCTGGTTTTTTTGGGGTTGTTTTTCTAGGAGATCAGCATTGTTGGTGTCAGGATATTGCAGGACTGTGCAGCAACAAAATTTGCACTCATTTTCTTTCAAATATAGTAAATATGTTCAGTACGTATTGTGTGTAAATAAAATACTTTATGTTATAAGTGGCTATAAACATTTAATGAAGTATCTGAAATGTTCTGGAATGGCTTTGTCCTTAAGAACAATCAGAAGCTCTGGTCGTTCAGAGTGTTTGGAAGCATAACCCTGGCATTCCCATTACAATTTTGTTCTCTGGTGTCTATCATCCGTGGTCACTAAGGAACTGTCCCAAACGGCAGAGTCTGAGCGCATTAGACAAGTTTATGCTGTAGGATCATTCAGAGAGCTCTTCAGAGCATGGTCTTCATGATTTGCCTTGAGTGGCAAGCCCCTCAAGAACCGCTTACTTCCTGTATGGAGTGCAGAGGTATGCCTATAGTATTCTATAATTATGGGGAAGGGAACTGTATTTTCTGCCAAGTGTACCTAATGTTCCTTTCATCTGAGGAATGACCACTGGAGGTAGCCCTAGGCTGTAATGCAAACACTGCATATTCTCTGAAAAAAAGCATAAAGGGAACGATTATATTCACCAGAACAAATACAATAAGCTGTAGTTGTTCTGGTGATTATAGTGTCGCTTTAACTTGCAGGGTTCGTTACTAAAGTGAAAATTCAAAGTTAATTCAAATCTAAGACCAAATAGGAAACCTTCACCCAGTCAACTTTGCTTCCAGTTTGCCTACTGTGACTCTAGTAAATAACCATGTATTGTATTTTTTACTTGGTAATTTTGATGCACATATTTCATCTCAATGAATTGGTAATAGTGCTTCTATCCTGTGTTTTTTTTTGTTTTGTTTTTTTTTCAAGTGGGTTAAATCTGCATGAGGATCCCTGGCCACTACTGTGAGCACATGTCTAAAGTAGTGATTACACACGTCTTTCTAGCCATTCCCATTCATATCTGCAATGGGCACTGTGATAAGCAGTCAGCTGCCAATCACAGCCTCCTATTGCTGCTCAAGCTAATACTTCCTCATTAACCTGAACAGCACAGAGGGAATAAGTTTCAGGGGACTCTTGTGTGGCATTACAACCAGTTTAGCTCTGACTGAAAAGATGGTGTAAATGGATGGCAGACACTACAATCACGTCAATGAAATAAAGAAGTTACAGTGCCTACAGTGTCCCTTTAAAAACAACCAACAAACTGGAGAATACAGCTGTATATCTACAAAAAGAAAATAGAAAACAACAATAGTGTGACACTGTGAAGACAAATATAAATTGCGCAAATAAAATTGCACTCACAGGATGGGGAATGGTATATCGCCTTAGGGTGCCTCCCCTGATGTAGGTGGGGGGCTAATCCAAATCACTTCCTTTCAACAGCACTGCAGTATAAAGAGCCGGGCACAAATTGAAAAGATAAAATAACCACTACTTTATTATTAAAATCAATGTGTAAAGACACACTAATATTTTATTATTTATATAGCGCCATCAGATTCCGTAGTGCTGTATAAAGGACATATAAAAAATATATATTAAAAAATGGTTGCTGAGTATGGACCTACATGTTTCGTCCCAAGGGACTTCCTCAGGGATCCTCAAAGGTTTACAACAACAAGAATTAATCAAAATAAAAGTAAATAAGCAAAGTGACAAATCACACAAACAAATTGTAGTATAAAAAGTAGGGATCAACCGATATTGATTTTTTTAGAGCCGATACCGTTAATCTGTGAAATTTCAGGCCGATAGTTTACCGATATTCTGTACATTTGCCGTATTTTAATTTTTAAATTTTTTTTTTGCAAATCTTTTTTTTTTTTTAAGTGGTAAATGCACAAAATATACATGCCAGTCAGATTTTTTTTTTTATGTTTTCAAGAATATTTATATGTGTGTGGTGAATGCAGTGTGTGTGTGTGTGTTTGTGTAGTTGATGCAGTATGGGTAGTGGATGCAGTGTGTTTGTGTGTAAATATGTGTGGTACCCCTACTCCCCACCCCTTACCTGTTTCTTAGTGCCCCCCCTCCATTCCCCTGTTCCTCTCACTTCTCTTTTAGTGGTCCCCTCCACCTCAGTGTTGTTCACCCCCTGTCCCATAGTGTTCTTCACCCCCACTTCCCTGTTCCATAGTGTTCTTTCTCCCCCTCCCCTGTCCCATAGTGTTCCTTTCCATCCCCTCTCTCCATAGTGTTCCTTACCACCCTCCCTATCCCATAGTGTGTCCCCCCCCCAACCCTTAGTGCCCCTCCCTCTCTCCCCTCCTTGGTCCCCGCTCCCTGGTGTGTCTCCTGGTAGCGTGGCCGAGCGGACCTGTGCGCACCGCGGTACAGGAGATGCAGTCTCCTGTACCGGGCCAGACTGACAGGAAGTGCATCTTCTGTACAGTGGTGCGTACTGCTCTGCTTGGCCATGCTACACAGAGTGCCTGGCAGGAGGGAGCGCTGTGAGCCCACCTCCTGCTGGTCACTCTGATCTAGTGCCCCCCGGGCCAGTGCGCCCTAAGGCAGCCGCTTGTGTGCCTTATAGACGCGCCAGCCCACTCATTCATTATCGGTATAGCTTTGCCAATGATATACGGCAGGTTGCTTCCACACTGTCATTCTCTGAAGTTCTGCCTGTGCATAACACTCAGAACGACAGGCGGATGCGTATTAGGGACTTTAATTTGTGGCTTGGTGAATGGTGTCGGGAGCAAGGATTTGGCTTTATTTCTCATGGTAGCTCTGTTTGGAATGGAGATAAGCTGTACAAAAAAGATGGTTTGCATCTTTCTCAAAAGGGAACAAATGTTCTCAGTGAGCAGTTCAGAGGTTTTGCTAGGATGTATTTAAACTAGGAGGGGGGGGCAAAAGGGTGATAAAACATCAATCCAATTGTCCCCCAAAACAAGGACAGAAGGTGCCTGTAGCAAGTGTGTTAAAAAATGATAAGCTTAGAGTCATGTCTACAAATGCTCGCAGTTTAGGGAATAAGATCCATGAACTTGTGGCAATAATGGCAACTGATAGTGTAGATTTAGTCGCTGTTACTGAGACATGGTACAATGAGAAAAATGACTGGGACATAGCAATACCAGGGTACTCTTTATATAGGAAAGATAGGGAAGGCAAGAAAGGGGGAGGGGTGGCCTTGTATGTGAAGGATAGCATAAAATCTAGCCTAATAAAAGTTAGTGAGGCAAACATAGAGTCCGTTTGGGCTACGTTAGAATTTGGTAATCACACAGTAACTCGTGTAGGTGTGATTTATAGGCCCCCAGGACAAATTGAAGAGTTAGATAATCTACTAGTTGAGGAAATAGCTAAAATGACAATGAAGGGGAAGTTATCATCATGGGTGACTTTAATCTTCCTGATGTAAATTGGAAAACAAAATTAGCTACTTGTGCCAGGAGCACACATATTCTAAACTCCCTACTGGGATTGTCTCTAAAACAAGTTGTTGAGGAGCCAACTCGTAAAGAGGCCATACTAGATTTAGTGTTAACAAATGGAGATTTGGTATCAGATGTTACTGTAGGTGAAAGTTTAGGATCCAGTGATCATCAGTCAGTGTGGTTTAATATAAGAACAGTGACTGAGTCACACCACACAAAAACAAAAGTTTTAGACTTTAGAAAAACAGACTTTTCTAAAATTAGAATATGGGTAGAGGAGTCATTATCAGACTGGAGCAATTTAAATGGAGTCCAAGAAAAATGGGATTATTTAAAAGTTGCACTATTGAAGGCAACAGAAAATTGCATTAGGCTTGTCAGTAAAAGCAAAAAATTCAAGAAACCACTGTGGTACTCCGCAGATGTGGCCAAAATAGTTAAAAACAAAAAGTTAGCATTTAGGAATTATAAAAAAACCCAGAGTGAGGGAGACAAAATGATCTATAAGATTAGGCAGAAAGAGGCTAAGCAAGTTATAAGAGCTTCCAAATCACACACAGAAGAGAAAATAGCACAGTCAGTAAAAAAGGGGGATAAAACATTTTTTAGATACATAAATGAGAAAAGAAAAGTAAAACAAGGATTAGTTAGATTAAAAACAAAAGAAGGAAGGTATGTAGAAGAGGATAAAGGTCAGGCTGACTGCCTCAATGAATATTTTTGTTCTGTATTTACAGAAGAAAATGAAGGAAAGGGACCTCAGTTGAGAAAAAGGATAAATGAGTCATTTATTACACGTGAGTTTACAGAGGAAGAGGTTCTATTTCAACTGTCAAAAGTAAAGACAAATAAGTCAATGGGACCTGATGGAATACACCCTAAGCTATTAAAAGAGCTTAGTGGTGTACTAGCAAAACCATTAACAGATTTATTTAACCAATCATTGTTAACAGGAGTAGTCCCAGAAGATTGGAAGTTAGCGAATGTTGTGCCCATTTACAAGAAAGGTAATAGGGAGGAGTCGGGCAACTATAGGCCAGTAAGCCTTACTTCAGTAGTGGGGAAAGTGATGGAAACCATGTTAAAGGATAGGATTGATGAACATCTAAAAACACATGGATTTCAAGATCAGAGACAACATGGGTTTACTTCAGGGAGATCATGCCAAACTAATCTTATTGATTTTTTTGATTGGGTAACTAAAATTATAGATCAGGGTGGTGCAGTAGACATTGCTTACCTAGATTTCAGTAAGGCTTTTGACACTGTTGCACATAGAAGGCTTATCAATAAACTGCAATCTTTAAGTTTGGATTCAAATATTGTTGAATGGGTAAGGCAGTGGCTGAGTGACAGGCAACAGAGGGTTGTAGTTAATGGAATATATTCGAAGCTTGGACTTGTCACCAGTGGGGTACCTCAGGGATCTGTACTTGGACCCATTCTGTTTAATATTTTTATTAGTGATATTGCAGAAGGTCTTGATGGTAAGGTATGTCTTTTGCTGATGATACTAAGATATGTAACAGGGTTGATGTTCCAGGAGGGATAAGCCAAATGACAAATGATTTAGGTAAACTAGAAAAATGGTCAGAATTGTGGCAACTGACATTTAATGTGGATAAGTGCAAGATAATGCATCTTGGACGTAAAAACCCAAGGGCAGAGTACAGAATATTTGATAGAGTTCTAACCTCAACATATGAGGAAAGGGATTTAGGGGTGATTATTTCTGATGACTTAAAGGTAGGCAGACAATGTAATAGAGCAGCAGGAAATGCTAGCAGAATGCTTGGTTGTATAGGGAGAGGTATTAGCAGTAGAAAGAGGGAAGTGCTCATGCCATTGTACAGAACACTGGTGAGACCTCACTTGGAGTATTGTACACAGTACTGGAGACCGTATCTTCAGAAGGATATTGATACCTTAGAGAGGGTTCAGAGAAGGGCTACTAAACTGGTTCATGGATTGCGGGATAAAACTTACCAGGAAAGGTTAAAGGATCTTAACATGTATAGCTTGGAGGAAAGACGAGACAGGGGGGATATGATAGAAACATTTAAATATATAAAGGGAATCAACACAGTAAAGGAGGAGACTATATTTAAAAGAAGAAAAACTACCACAACAAGAGGACATAGTCTTAAATTAGAGGGACAAAGGTTTAAAAATAATATCAGGAAGTATTACTTTACTGAGAGGGTAGTGGATGCATGGAATAGCCTTCCAGCTGAAGTGGTAGAGGTTAACACAGTAAAGGAGTTTAAGCATGCATGGGATAGGCATAAGGCTATCCTAACTATAAGATAAGGCTAGGGACTAATGAAAGTTTTTAGAAAATTGGGCAGACTAGATGGGCCGAATGGTTCTTATCTGCCGTCACATTCTATGTTTCTATGTTTCTATTATCAGCCGATACCGATACTTACAAAAAAATCGGAATATCGGCCGATAATATAGGCAAAACCGATAATCGGTCGATCCCCAATAAAAAGCAGTATACAACCCTCCCCCTTGAGTCTCTCCTTATATATGGCTCTTGAATCTTCTTATTGGAGGTCCAGGCGCTGTTCTCTCATGTTCCCAGCTGTTGGTCGTCTTCAGTATTTTTTTTTTCCCGGTCTTCTGTATTCACCTCGCTTCTTCTGATGTCACTTCCGGTGAGCCGATCATCATTGGCGCATCATGATGACATCTGTGTTCCACTTAACAGCTGGCATGCGCTCCATCTCCTCCCCTTGTTAGTTCTCTATATTGGAAGCCTAATAGGCTCATAAGTCAAAGAAAGAAATATATGTACTTGCAAGCAAATAGTAATGTGTATATCCAAAAACAAAATACATATACAATTGGAGAGTGTTCTTGGA